ACGACGACGAGGCGCCTCCTAGGTTGTACTTGATGGCCTTGCCCAGCTTCACAGTCCACGATCGCATAAATTCGTGGCTGTCGTCGAGGGCGTCACTGACGGGCTGTGCCGAGCGGCTGGCGTCGTTGATCTGCTGCGTCGAGTAGCCCACGCCGTCTGAGCGGGCGAGTAGAATTTCGCGATACGGCTGGAGCGGGTGGCTGCTGCCGTTGCTCGTGCCGTGGGTGGATGATGACGCTGTCGATGCGGACGTGGCAGCTGCTGCTTTTGATTTGGCTCCCGAAGCGGATGAAGAGGAGGCTGACTTGGCCATGGGAGTTGAGCCCAGTGTCGTGCCTTTTGTCGCAGGCCGGCCGACCCCCACTTTGGTTGCGGGTTTTGATGACATTGTGGGCGTAGGTATGCTGAAGCGATGATGAGGTGAGGTGAAAGTGACGTGGAGGTGATGTACAGGTGACGAGAATATGAGGATGCCCAGTTGGCTCTGTGACCTAGACGGCCCACGCCACAACTCAACAGCGCCTGCACGTCACACTTCTGTTCAAAATTGAGCTAATATTGGGCTGGCTTGAGAGTCACGTCCGTTCGCGATGAATTGTCGCGACAAACAGCCACGATGAAGTCGACGCGATGAGCTGCTCTGAGCTAATGGCAGGCGGCGAGGCGCGCTGTGGCCAGCAGGGCTGCACGCTGTGGCGTTTGGTACAAGTGCAGGCGTAGGTGCATGAGACCCAACGTAAACTCGTCCTGTCTTTTGTGGCTTGTGGCGTCGTCTGTTGTGAGGTCTGTACGTCGTAGGTGCCTTCATTTAAGAAGTGTTGGTCCAAAATTGACTAGATCTTTAATGGAACGATCGCGATGATTAGTCATCCATCCAAGTGCAGCATTACCCAAAATCAGCTCAAACCCCGTACCTTTCACAGTGCTTTCAATACTAGGCGACAAAGGACAAAACAGAAAATCCCCACGAGTGCATAGCCATGTAAAATTTAACATGTAGTTCATTTCTCCGTAGTACTCTCAACTGTACTTCATTCCGCGTTTCGTCAACTGCTAAAAGCTAAGGTATCTATTCGTTGTAGGGGGAAGGCATAATTAGTTGATATCGTTGTGGGCTCAAAGCAGGCTCCATCGGTCAGAGAACGTAAATGAAAACATCAAAATGAAAACAAAATAATGGGACGACAGACGTCGGCGTTCGTCTAGGCATTGTGGCTCCCTCTTCCCAGACGCCCAAGGAAACGTAAATTGGAATCGAAGAAAAACGGGGACAAACGAGAACAACGACAAAAAGCAAGTGCCAAAGAGGCAAACGCGCCGCGCAGGACGCGCTCACGGCTCCTCGCCCACGTCACCCGAGAAGATGTCCTCCACGCCCGTCCACGTGCCCTTGGCCCGCTCCTCCCAGTAACCGTCCTTGCCGCCCTTGAGCCGCCACACCTCGTCGCCGTCGGGTCCCGTGGCCACCTTGACGAACCACCGCGGCTTGTGCTGCTCCCCGCGTTCCTCCAGCTGCCGCCGCCGCGTCCGCTGCGCCTCCTCTAGCTTCGTCTTCCACGCTTCGGCGTCGTCCAGCTTGCCCTCCTCGGCCAGCCGCTGGTCCGGCCGCAGCCGGCAGTCGGTCGGCGCCAGCTTGCCCTTCTCTAGTGACGTGACCTCGTTGAGCGACGCAGCAAACTGCGTCAGACCATAGACGCGCGCAGCGTCGTCCACCAAGGCACCCGCACGCCAGATCTCGAGCCCGCCCGCTTTGTTGCGCGGGTCCACGACCCGCAGGCCCGACGTCCACGTACCCGTGAGCGCCAGCCCCGTGTGCGCGCCCGCCGGGTCGTACGTCTCGATCTGGACGTCTTCGCTGCGCCCGCCAAACATGCCCTTGGAGCGGAACTCCACGGCGGCGCGCGCGCCGGTCGTATCGTTGACGACGTTCATGGTGCCCACAGGCTCGACGTACTTTTCGCCCATGACGACGTTGCGCAAGAACACCGTGGCCAGCGCCCACGAGTAGTGTTCTTCGCCGCCGCCGTCCGGCAGCCGCAGCACGACACGGACGCGGCCTTCTGTAATGATCTCGGCGCTCTTGCCCCAGAACTTTTGCGAGGGCGCGGCGGCCTGCGAAAAGGACCAGGCCGGGGCGTCCGCTTGCATCGCGAGGCGCACGGGCCGGTGGCTGACCTTTTCGACCAGGACGCGCATGCCGCCGCCGGGCAGCTCGCGTTCGGTGCGCAGCAGCTCAAAGGTCTCGCCGAGCAGCGGGTTGAACGGTTTGCGGATGGCGCGCTCCTTTGCGCGGCCGCCCGAGAACTGCGACACGGCAAAGGCAGCCACGTACAGCAGGCGCTCTTCGGGCCGCGACTTGGCGGCCGCCTCATTGAGCAGCTGCGCGTACTCGACCTGCTCGGCAATGCGCTGCAGCAGGGACGTCGGTTCGTTAGCAGACGCTGGCATCGAAATGGTCGACAAGTCTTTGCCGACGTTCTTGCGCACAAAGGCGATCAGACTCGGCGGCAACACGGTCGACGGCGGTATCGTTTTGCGGCGTTGCACCGCTTCGGTCAGGGGCAGTGGTGCGAGCGACTTGGGCTTGGGCGGGAACAGGTTCTTGCCGTCGCTGCCGGTGCCGTTACCCTCGCCCAGCCCGGTGTACTCTTCCTCGTCCTCGACCGAGGAAACCGACGACTCGTCGCCGTCGCCGTGGGCCGACGCGTGCTCCTCGTCCATCTCAGAGCCGGGCGTGTCCTCGGCCTCGCTGTGGTTGTCGATGCGCAGCAACTGCGAGCGGTCTGCAGAGGTCGCGGCCTCGGCGGCATCAAAGAACTCGTCCGTGGTCGAGGTGGAGTCAAGGCTATTGCGCGGTGCAGCAATGTTGGCCGCAACAGCCGATGTGGTGCGGCGGTGCTTGCTGTTGGCGAGCAGCTTCGTGAACTCGGACACGACCGAGTCCAGATCACCCAACAGCGCCTGGCAGTGGTCTTCCATGTTGTGGCCCTCGTGCTTGGCGCCGTGCTTGGCGTTGTGGTGTGCTGGGGCGTTCGAGGTGGCGGACGGTGCCGGCACGGCCAGCGAGGACGCGACGGAAGAGCGGAAGTTTTGCGGGGCGAGCGGCGAGGCTGAGGACCGTCGCCGCCAGAACGGCCTACGCTCTGCGGCCCCTCCGGCGGGCGTGGACTGCTGAGACGACAGATAGTCGTCGGGCTCTTCGGAGACGGGCGGCGTACTGGGCGAAAGGAAATGCGACTTTTGCGCGGCGTGTACGGGTGGCTGGTGGCCCGCGGCGGCCATGTCCTTGACAAGTCGCCGGAGAGCGTCCCGCGTACCAACAACGCGGCTAACAAGCGCCTCGACCTGCTGCCACTCGCGCGTTTCCTCCTGGTACATGACCTTGGGGGCAACGTCGGCTGGCGGTTCGGAGCGGAGGTTGTGCGACGACACGGAGGCACCAGGAAGGCCCTGGACCTTCTCGAGGCCGCGGGCGATGCGACTCGAGCGCTCCAATGCGCGTGCCCACTCGGTAAACTCCTTATCGTTGGAAGCCTTGAGATGCCACACCTCGGCGCCCGAGTCGATTGTAATCTCGCGTCGGCGCTCGTCGGCAGCAATGGCCGCCAGGCTCAGAGGAATAGCGCCACGCAGGGCCGAGGAGTTGCGGTTGTGGTAGTAGGAGAACGTGCAGGTGGCGTAGTCGAGTGAGAAGAAGCGGCGCGCATAGCCTTGGCCCTTTTTCCGGCGGCGCTTCAACAGGGTGCCGACGTGGTAGTTGGCGGAGGAGCCAGACGAGGCGGTCGACAGGCCTGGACGCGCACTGTTGGTGCCACTCCCACTCTTACTGCCGCCGCCGCCGCCGCCGCCGCCACCACCACCACCACCACCGCTTCCGCGGCTGCCATTCGCAGCTTCGCCGCCTGAGCCTGGCGTCGATACCGCCGACGCAGCACCTGCTGCACTCCCGGTTGTAGCGGCCGAACCGTTGATCGCGTGATGGCTGCCAATGCTGTCCATGGACGGGGTCGGAATGGCGCCGAGGCGCGGACTGTTGTTCTTGCCGAGACTCGACCGGCTGATGCTGGCAGCGGACCCGGCCTGGAGGTTGGGAAGATTGCGGGCACCCTGAGGCGGGGCGCCGACGGGGTAGGTCAGGAGGACAAACGTCGCGTTCTTGGAGGTCTGGCGCGAGAAGGTGTTGTCAAAGACGAGGCCAAACATGCCCCCGTTGCCGGCCTCGACGTCGTAGGTGCCCATGGAGACCTTGTCGGCGTCGCACTTGCCGTGCCAGTTGATGAGTTTGAAGCCCTTTTTGCGCAGCTGCTCGGGCGCGGTGCCGGCGTCCTTTCTGTTAAAAAGGCCTTGCTTCGCATCGGAGGTGCCATCGGGCAGGCTGTCGTCGAGGTCGGACTGGAAGGTGGTGAGGTTGGTGCCGCCAGTACCGGGATGCTTGACAATGCCAAAGTTTCTGCAAGAAGACAAAGGGACGGTCAGCAGTTGCACAAGTGGACAAACATGCTTTGCCCGGGCAGGGACGTATGACAGTATGACGTACATGGACTTCTTGTGCGGCTGTACACTCCAGGAGATGGTGTGACCTTCGTCGACCTTCACCCATCGCACAATGTAAGACTGCAGAGACACATGTGTTAGCAGCTGCCAAGAGGGGTCGCACCGCTATGGTTGCGCCGTACCTTGCTGTGGATTTCGAGCTGCTCAATGCCGGCCATGGTGTAGAAGTTGGGCGAGAGCAGAGGCTCTCAGGAAGGCCGTGGATGTTACCGACAGAAAACAGGCTCAAAAAAAAGGACAAAAAAAAGAAGAAAGTTTGGGAGACGAGAAACACGTCGCGCTCCGTCGTGATGTCGGCAAGGCGGGCAGGCGGGAAGAACGGGTAGAAAACGAAACGCAAAGCTTTCTCTAGCTGCGGTCCATCACGAACAGTCGCCAATCCAGTGGAACCTTGTGTCTGTGTTTGACGTTGCTGTTGGCGTCTTTTGTCGGAAGAGGTCGGCGACTCAGTGGCGTTCGATGCCAAGCCTCGGCGGAACGTGGCCGGAAGGCGCGGAGTCGGGTGCCACAGGGTGAGACGCTGCCCGCAGATTGACGTTTGGCGTCGGCCTGTCGTCGTCGGTCGTGAGCGGAGGGAGGAGGAGCTTTGAGGGGACGTCTGGTGGTGCCGGCGATGTTGGTGATGTTGGAGAGTTTGGATGTTTAAGTGGAATCGAGTTAGGGGGCTCCCTTCCCATGGTGGACACAGCCGGACTGGACAAGTGGACTAGAAAGGCAACAGCGAATACAGACACGTCTTGGCTGCGCGTGTTTGCGACAAGGAAGGAGGCAGGGGGACTGACTGCCGGGCGAGTTTAGCGGCGAGTGGTTGATTCGGGCTTCGACGGGCAAGTCCTTTTAGGGGTTTTGGGTTCGTCTGTAGGGGCTGGGAGAAGCTTGGTGGCCGTTAGTGCGGGGCTATCAGCGGCAGAATGCGCTACCGTAAGCCTAGAAATACGAACGGACGAGGGGCACGGAGACCACTTGCCAGCGCTGGACCAATGACAGGGCGCTGCTGGTCTTGTGTCTCTCTGCTGACGTTGTGCCTGACAAGGGCTTTCGCCCAGCCACAGCGTATTTTGGGCAGCGCTAGGCATCCAGGGTTCACTCCATCAGGAGCCATCGCAAAACTTTGTTTGGCGTTCAGGAGAAAGTCGAGAAGACAAAGGACAACAAAAGTGCCTTTCGGCCCCGGCAGTTTCGGGAGGGAGGCATGTGGTCTCGTGGCCAAATGCCATTCCGGGACGTCATATGTCGCGGTCCTGTAGGATTTGGTCGGTTACACTGAGTGGCCCCAAAAATAGAAATGAAAAAGGACAAAAGAGAAGAAGAAAAGAAAGATCCGGCCACAAGGCTGCAGATTCTCTGTGGCGAATGGAAATACGAGCCGTACGACATACGGCCTCGGCATCATCGGTCGAACCAAATCAAGGGATATAGAACGGAATAGAAGGTTGTGGAGTGAAGGCTCACGGCATCACCATAAACAGGGCACTTTGCTCCCTTACCGACGGTATTGGGCCTTCCAACAGGTAACATCGGATCTGTAACATTTTGGTCTACGGCGAGAGACAAAGTTCAATGGTGTAGCACCAAGCGGCATATTTGGGTGTGTCGTTATTCATGGCCGGCATGGCACAGTACATCTCGGCATCGGGAGGAATCTTCATGTGCGACAATTCAGTTCAGTACTTCGACCTCGTGCATTTCCCATCTTAGCTAACAAAACATGTCGTGGTCGTAACTTCGTACAAAATACAGCGTCGTCTTCCCGTCATCCCCGCTCGCCTGCTACCGCCCTTAAAACGTGCATTCCCGCAACTTGCCCGTCCGCCCGATCTCGTACTCGATCCACCGCGCCGCCCCCCGCCGGCCAGCCACCAGCAGGCTGCTCGGGTTCATGACATGGCAGCCCTCGTATGTTACGCAAAACGGCGGCGCCGTGGTGTCGACCAGCACGAGCGCCGTGGGCAGCGGGTAGAGGTGCAGTGCGCTCGCAAAGTCCCAGTGCACGGGGCGCAGTGACTGCTTGAACGGCGCAAGGTAGCCCTGGTCGAGAATGGTCTTGACGAGCTTCCGTGCCGTCTGGACGTCGTAGGGGATACCAGAGGCGGAGACGGGCTTGCTTTGCGCCTGGGCCTGCGCCTCTGCTGTGCCATCCACATCCATGTCGTCCTGGCTAGCCACTGCGGGCGCTGCTTCTGGTGCCTCTGGGACCTCAGGAGCAGCTGGCTTGGCCAACCGCACGGCCGTGCGCCGCAGCCGACTTGACGTGTCGTCGCGGAACAGCACAATCTCGTGGTTGGGCCCAAACAGCGACAGCCGACTTGGGTTGGTGGTCCACACGGCCTCGCCGCTGACCCGGTTGCTGCTCGCACCGACCACCTCAGCATTGGCCGTCGCAAACGCACGCCGGACGCGCGACGTGAACAGCTCCGGCACGGGCTTGCGCGGCAACGGCACGGCGGCACCGCCGCTAAAGGCCGACACCCAGCCGTCGTTGTCGCCGGGCACAAACACAAAGGATGACGACTGCAGGAGCGTTGGGTAGTCGGAGAGAGCAGACGCCAGCGCGTCAAAGTACTCCTTGTACTCGATGCTGCCGCCGCTGCCGCCGCCGGCCATGACCGCGTGCTCCACGAAATTGCCCGTCAGCACAAACGCCACCGGCGTAGCGCCCTCGGGTTCGGCGGCATACAAGCCCAGCACCTTACGCAAGGCCTGCAGCGTGCGCGGCTGATCGAGGTTGAGCTCGCCCAGGAGGACGACGCGTTGGCGACTGGGTGGACGGGGACCGAGGTCTTCGTCGTCGCTGTCAAGTCCTGCTTCTTCGTCGTGGTTCGTCTGAGTTGCTTCGGGCTCGTCAGCCTCACCGTCTTGCGAATCAGTTAATAAGCGCTGTTGTCGCAGTTGCAGTTGATTTTGCTGCTGCTGTTGCTGCTGCTGACGCCGAAGACGAAGCTTCTGCTGCCGGTGTTGCTGGAGCTGGCGCTGCAAAAACCGCTGCTCGAGTTTGCGCATACGCGCCCCGACCGCACGGTGGCTGCCAACACCCATAAAGTCGATCCAGCCAAACCCGCCGCCGATGGTGTGGTCCGTGCCGTTGGCACCGTCGACGCCATCGGGGCCACTGATGCCCAGGGCATCTCGCCGCGTCTCGCTGGGAGGCTGGCCAATGAGGAATGCCTGGAAGCGCCCGCCTATCGTACCGCCCACGCCCGTGGCACCATTAAGACCACGGCCCGCAGCCTCCTCCTCTTCTTCGTAAACACCGTCCACGAGCACAATCATGCCGGGCGTGAACCACGCCGAGTCCTCGGGAATGGCCACTGCGCTGGAGACGTCGAGTGTTATGGACGCCGTCAAATCACAGATGGACAGGTTGCCCGTCGGCAGAACGACAAGCATGCCGAGAAGCATGTGGTGCGTGCCGTGGCGACCCAAAAGGTTGGCCACGGGCGTAATTTTATGCGTAGCTCCAGAAACAGAGGAGCCTGACAGCTGCAGTGTAGACACCGCGCGGGCCTCGGCAACCGCCGAGCTCTGGAACATCTCGTTGCGGAGAAGGCGCTGGTGGATGACGTTGAAGCGGTTGCGGAATAGGCCGGTCTTGTGGCTGGTACTTGGAAGGAGGGACGGCTTTGATGTTTCTCTGCAGCATGGTTAGAAGCTGTTGCCTGCTCGTCGTGTACAAAGGAATGGTCACCTGCCTTTCAAAGTGCTTCTTTGCAACGTTGTAGACCATTCGTGGTTGGTCATAGGCGCCCACAACCTTGAGCCACCGCCGTGGGTCGAGCAGGCCGTCGTCGTCGGCGTCCTCTTCATCGTCCTCCACATCGAGCCTGCTCATGCCCAGGCTGGCTTGGCTGTCTTCTCTCGTCAAGAGCGGTTTGCCACCGCCGCCGACACCGCCTACTGACGACACAGTGGGCCTAAGACCGAGTCGTGTGTTGGTAATGTCGGACTCGCGGGTTGAGTCGAGCAGGAGGCTGTTCTGCCGCGGAATACCGCCACGCTGCGGACCATTGTTGCCGCCCTCCCGCACGCGGCTCATCGCGCTGCCGTTTCTCCCGGCAGCATCGACTGCACCTGCCCTGGCACCGGCCCCGCCTCCTGGGCCCCCAACCATAATCCGCCCGCCGCTCATGTTACCTTCCAGCGTCTTCAGGATGTCCTTCAGCTCTGCACTGGCGCCGTCGACAATGAATCCACAGTTTCGGTTCTTCCAGCTCTTGGCCGTCTCTTCCAGAACACGCTCGGCCAGCCCTTCCTCGCGCCAGCCGGAGCCGCAATGCCGCCCGATAAAGTTGGCCAGCTCTTGCAGCGCCGATGAGGTGAGTGTAAGGCTGTGCTTCTTGGTAAATGTCCGGAACGCCAGGGGCCGCAGGGTTGTCGGCGGCAAGAGGATAGGCAAGATGGTTGGACGGGCAGAGGCAGCCGGAACGCTCGTGGCCAACACGGCCGCCGCGGTCGACCGTGCCTCGCCGGGCACAAAGGGTCGCATGGGATGCAGGGGCGTGGCGAAGGCGGGGGATGACGAGAACGGGGCTTGTGACGAAGACAGCATGGCGGGCGCCGACGGCGTGCTGGTCACGTCGCCCGAGCCACTGCCGGCACCTCCCCGGCCGGCAAAGAAGGTGTCAGCCAGAGGCTTGGACTGTCGCTGCTTGCGAGGGCTCAGCTTGGCGGCGGTCGCCTCGGAGGACACGGCGTCGGCCGTCATACCGGGCGCTGCGTGTGAGTACCTGTACTGAAGAGGGTGGGGATTTCGGTTGGGTAGAGAGGGTGTATTGTGTATGTCGTATGTATCGTGCGTGTCATTTGATTGTTGTGAACGCAAGTAGACGACAATGGAGTCGAAGTGGGTTCATCGGCGTCAAAATACCATCGTGGTGACCAGCCGTTGTCTTTTGCTCCTTCCTTGCCCTTCGCCAGTGTGCCTCCTGCTCCTGCCACTTAACGGTAGTTTTGGTGGGACGCGTCAAAACACGCGTTTTTGGTGGGCAGAATGGCGCGTCGCTCTTTCCCTTGTCCGCTGCTTCAACGCAAACAGCTACTGTGGGGCTTCACCGCCTGGCAGCCCCACCAATCAACAGAAGCCTCTCTTTCCACGCCAGTGATTTTCATGACGACATAAACTCGTTTTGGGTGGACAGGTGCAGTTCGACGACAGCATTTTGTGAGTTTCTGAGCACGGCAACACGTACAATGTTTGCACAAAGGATAATGCAGAGGCAACAGCCTGCGGCCATTGGCCGGCTTTTCCGGCGCTCGTTCGGCAGCACCTTGTCGATCAATCCTCACATTGTAAGCGATACCAACGACTACAGAGCAAGGATCGATCAATTGATACACGACGCAAGCTAAAGCCAACACCTCACCAGAAAGCCTTCCGGCTGGCCACTCTGCCGCCGTCGTATCTCCTCACCTACCTGGACACTCCTAGGCCGTCAGCGGCCACGGCCGTCGGCACGACCAGTGTGCTGCCTCCGACGCCGCGTTCATTTGTCGCCAGTGACCGGTTCATGGACATTCTCAACGACGTGCTCCGCGAGAATGCAGCCCAGGACGATGGGCTCAGAGCACAGGCCGTTGCATTTGCAGCCCCAGGCGGCACCATTTTCAGCAATGCCGGCGCGAGCCACACCGGATCCAGCACCACCGTGCAGCAGGGCGGATCTGGCGGCGGCGGCGTTGG